CCCTTCCCAGCTCCATCCCTGGACACCTCCAGCCCTTCCCAGCTCCATGCATGGACAGCTCCTTGCCCCTTCCCACCACACGTGGACCTTTCTCTGGAGCTCTCCATGAGCTCCTCCAGCTCCAAAGGCTCTGGAGAAAGCTCTGGAACCAAGGAATGTGCTTTGGGAAGGTCCTCAGAGAGAACAATCACCCAGAGCGCCCAGAAAGCTCCAGGAGAGAAGCTCAATTCACGTCCCTCCTCAAGGAGCTCCACGTGCTCCGCAGCAGCCATGGTGGGATGGTCACCTTCTCCCCAGTCACATCCCTCAGGTTCTCCATGGAGAACCACCCACTCCTCCCTGGAGATCCACGTTTGGGTCCCCCAGGGTCACCCCAAGCCTCACCCAGGACAGTGAAGCAGCGAAGGATCTCCGTGTGGTTCTTGGCAGTGAGAGGGACAGAAGGATCTGCTGGAGCACAGATCTGTTGGACAGGGGGAGGAGGTCAAGGAGGACACCTGGAATGGGTGGGGGAAGGTGGCAAAGCCACCACTGACCTGGTGGGTCAGAGTGTCCCAAACAGGGCTGGGGTCACCTCCTCGGGAACCTCCTCAAGGAGACTCACGGGAAGGGATGAGTGGGAAGGAACCCTGGAGAACATCTCATTCCATGGGCAGGGACACTTCCCCATCCCAGTGTCTCCAGTCCATCCCCCCTGCCCTGGGACACTCCACACTGCTCTGGGAATTCCATCCCAGCCAGAATTCCTGCCCATGTCCCAGCCCAATCTCCCCTTTCCCAGGGAAGCCATTCCCTGGGTCCTGTCCCTCCAGGCCTTGGCCCAAGTCCCTCTCAGCTCTCCTGGAGCTCCTGGAGGCACTGGAAGGAGCTCGGAGCTCTCCCTGCAGCTTCTCCTCTCCAGGATGCACATTCCCAGCTCTCCCAGCTGGATCCAGAGCTGCTCCAGGATCATGGAATGTGTTGGGTTGGAAGGACCTTCAAGCTCCTCCAGTCCCACCCATGGACACTTCCCCCATCCCAGTGTCTCCAGTCCCATCCCCCCTGGCCTGGGACACTCCAGGGCTGGAGCAGCCACAGTTCCCCTAGCCAAGCTGTGGCAGAACGAAGATCTCCAGATGTTCCCAAGGAAGTTCTGGGATTACTCTTCATTTCCCCTTCCCCATGGACCTCCCAAGATCTCACCTGGGGGTGCAGAGAGCCCAGGAGAGAGTCCAGGAGAACATCCAGGCTGCGGCTCCCGATGCTCACGGAAGCTTCCAGGATCTGGCAGAGACTCTGAGCAGGACAGGAGGACACAGAGGAAGGTGGGAAGGACATGGAGGAGCTCCAAAGAGTTTCCAGGGATGGAGATGTCCCAATATCCCACCTGAACCTCCAATGGAACAGCTTGAGATCCCTCCAGAGCCTCCTTGGGCCCAGGAGGAGCTCCCACAGCTCCTTGGAAGTTCTTCAGAACATTCCCAGCTCCATCCCATCATCCCTGGACACCTCCAGCCCCTTCCCAGCTCCATCCCATCATCCCTGGACACCCCCAGCCCTTCCCAGCTCTATCCCTGGACACCTCCAGCCCCTTCCCAGCTCCATCCCATCATCCCTGGACACCCCCAGCCCTTCCCAGCTCTATCCCTGGACACCTCCAGCCCCTTCCCAGCTCCATCCCATCATCCCTGGACACCCCCAGCCCTTCCCAGCTCTATCCCTGGACACCTCCAGCCCCTTCCCAGCTCCATCCCATCATCCCTGGACACCCCCAGCCCTTCCCAGCTCTATCCCTGGACACCTCCAGCCCCTTCCCAGCTCCATCCCATCATCCCTGGCCACTCCAGGAGGGCTGAGGTTCTCCTCCTGTGCTCACCTTGGAGATGTAAAAAGCCTCCGAGTGCTTCTTGTAGAGGCCCAGGATGCCTGGAATGAGCTTTGGGAGCTGCTCCTCAAGCTTCTCACTTGGCATCAGGTGACTCATGGGACCAAGAGCTTCCACCACGGCAAGTCGGAGCTGCAGGGACAGGAGACACGTCTGGAGAACCTCCAGTGCACAGCTAGGACCTCAATGTGCACATCTGAGGAGGTCTCAGCCCTCCAACTCCTTCCCCAGGAGGTCTCACCACCCAACTCCTTCCCCAGGAGGTCTCAGACCTCCAACTCCTCCCCCAGGAGGTCTCAGACCTCCAACTCCTCCCCCAGGAGGTCTCAGACCTCCAACTCCTCCCCCAGGAGGTCTCAGACCTCCAACTCCTCCCCCAGGAGGTCTCAGACCTCCAACTCCTCCCCCAGGAGGTCTCAGACCTCCAACTCCTCCCCCAGGAGGTCTCAGACCTCCAACTCCTCCCCCAGGAGGTCTCAGACCTCCAACTCCTTCCCAAGGAGGTCTCACCACCCAACTCCTCCCCCAGGAGGTCCCACCACCCAACTCCTCCCCAAGGAGGTCTCAGACCTCCAACTCCTTCCCAAGGAGGTCCCACCACCCAACTCCCCCCCCAGGAGGTCTCACCCCTGTCCCACCTTGGGCTCTCGGTGCTGTAACCAGCTGTTGAACAGAACTTCGTAGGCGCAGAAGATCTCGTTGGAGAATGTGTCCTTCCTCACCGTTGGGTCTGGGGCCTTGTCCAGGTTGGCCAAGTACTCCTGGATGCTCTCACTGAAGTGCTGCAGAGCTAGGACAACATGTCCAAGGGTCACAATTCCCACATGGATATGGGTCAACCCTCCCAGCAAGGCCCTCTCAGCTCTCCTGGAGCTCCTGGAGGCACTGGAAGGAGCTTGGAGCTCTCCCTGCAGCTTCTCTTCTCCAGGATGCACATTCCCAGCTCTCCCAGCTGGATCCAGGGCAGAGCTGCTCCAGGATCAGGGAATGGGTTGGGTGGGAAGGACCTCACAGCTCATCCAGTCCCACCCATGGACACTTCCCCCGTCCCAGGTGGCTCCAGTGCCATCCCACCAGGATGAATCCCAGTGAGCTGAGCACTCTCCATCCCTCCCCATCCCTTCCATCCTCATTCCCTCCCTTCCCAGGGCCAGGAGGACACGTCCCAGAGCTCCTCCGAGGACTCACCGGAGCAGAAGACAGACTTCATGTGGTCCTGCTTGGCCATTCCCAGCATGGGCAGCATCGTTCCCAGGATGGAGTTGAGGAAAGGAACCATCCCAAAGACTGGGAATGAACGGGGAGAAGGTGGAGTCACCCCCAGCATCGCCTGGAAGCTTCTCCATGCTCCAGATCCAGCAGGGACAACCCAAAGAAACCCAACTGGATCACACCAGGAAGCTTCATCTTGCTCCAGGAGTCCACAGGGTCATCTCGGAGCTCCCTGGAGCTGCTGGAGAATTCCTCACTTGGATTCTCCTCCCTCCAACTCCCAGAACTTGTCAGATCTTCCCTCTGACCGTCCCAGAAATATGAAGCTTTCCAAAGGAATTTTCAGGGCATTCCAGGCCCAAATTCCTTGGCAGAGTTAAGGTTAAGCTCCAAGATCTCCAGAAGGTCTCCTGGACTAATCCCACCAGGAAAAAAAAAAGGAGCTTCCAGGAGTTTTCATCTACCTGATCCAGATGGATCCAACCACTTTTCCATCCCCCTGATCCACACCTGATTCTCCAGGGACAAATGGAAGAGCTCCAGCCCTCGAACACCCAACACATCTCCAGAAAACAGGAGAACCTGAGCTCCAGCCCTGGAACACCCAACACATCTCCAGAAGGTTCCTTGGAGCCCAACCCCAAGTTCTTCAGGAGAACCTGAGCTCCAGCCCTGGAACACCCAACACATCTCCAGAAGGTTCCTTGGAGCCCAACCCCAAGTTCTTCAGGAGAACCTGAGCTCCAGCCCTGGAACACCCAACACATCTCCAGAAGGTTCCTTGGAGCCCAACCCCAAGTTCTTCAGGAGAACCTGAGCTCCAGCCCTGGAACACCCAACACATCTCCAGAAGGTTCCTTGGAGCCCAACCCCAAGTTCTTCAGGAGAACCTGAGCTCCAGCCCTGGAACACCCAACACATCTCCAGAAGGTTCCTTGGAGCCCAACCCCAAGTTCTTCAGGAGAACCTGAGCTCCAGCCCTGGAACACCCAACACATCTCCAGAAGGTTCCTTGGAGCCCAACCCCAAGTTCTTCAGGAGAACCTGAGCTCCAGCCCTGGAACACCCAACACATCTCCAGAAGGTTCCTTGGAGCCCAACCCCAAGTTCTTCAGGAGAACCTGAGCTCCAGCCCTGGAACACCCAACACATCTCCAGAAGGTTCCTTGGAGCCCAACCCCAAGTTCTTCAGGAGAACCTGAGCTCCAGCCCTGGAACACCCAACACATCTCCAGAAGGTTCCTTGGAGCCCAACCCCAAGTTCTTCAGGAGAACCTGAGCTCCAGCCCTGGAACACCCAACACATCTCCAGAAGGTTCCTTGGAGCCCCCCGAGGTGTCACCCCCAGGTTCTCCCTTCCTGCCGCGCTCACCGTTGGACACGGAGAGGTTGGCGAAGGTTTGCATGACGTAGTAGTGGGGCAGAATTCCCGGCTGGAATTTGGTCAAGACCTCCTCCATCACCTTGTTGATGAAGCGCTGGCCCACAGCCACCAGGACATTGCTGGAAGCTTCTTGCCACTCCGGGACCACGTCCTGGGGAGGAGGAAGCACAGCAGAAAGCTTGGAATGCTGGAGGTGGATCCTTCCGGACGCTGTGGGATGGGTTGTGCTGGGAAGAGAACTCCAAAAGAACATCTCATTCCACGGGCATGGACAGCTCCCACCACCCCAGGGTTCTCCAGCCCCATCTCCCCTGCCCTGGGACACTCCACTCTGCTCTGGGAATTCCATCCCAGCCAGGAATTCCTGCCCATGTCCCAGCCCAATCTCCCCTTTCCCAGGGAAGCCATTCCCTGGGTCCTGTCCCTCCAGGCCTTGGCCCAAGTCCCTCTCAGCTCTCCTGGAGCTCCTGGAGGCACTGGAAGGAGCTCGGAGCTCTCCCTGCAGCTTCTCCTCTCCAGGATGCACATTCCCAGCTCTCCCAGCTGGATCCAGAGCTGCTCCAGCCCTTGGAGCAGCTCCACGACCTCCAATCTCCAGATGGAATTCCCCATGGATGAGCTCAACACCAAGCTCAAGTCTCATGACCTGAGGATCATCTCAAGATCCACGTGGAACCACCACGGGATCCCCAGATGGATCTGCAGCTTCCCAAAGCTCTGTCCCAGCATCCACCCATCCCATCCCAAATCCCAGTTGTCCATCCCAACCCTTTCCAGCACCCACATTCCCTTCAGGAATGTGTGGGCGCCAAGAGGAGAACCACCACCCAACCCAACAGAGGAGCTCATTCCATTCCTTCTCCTCCACCATCCCCAGGTCTGGATGACACCAGGAATGGTCTCCCAGCTCCTCTGGAAGGACCTGGGGACAAGGAGAGTTGGGATATGGAGGTCTTGGCTCATACCTTGGTCTTGGTCATCTCGTTGGACGCCAAGAAAATCACCACCTTGGCCGTGCTCTTGTCCAGGAGGTCAATGTTGTTCCTCACCACAACCTCCATGGCCTTGAGGATGATCACGCGGTGCGGATAGGCCAACTGGGAAGGAATTAAAACATGGATCAGTGTCCAGGGATTGACCATGGTGTGACCACATGGCCAAGGGAAGGGTCAGCAGCTCCTCTGGAGGCATCTCCCAAGGCACCTCAAGGCCTGCAGGTCTGGGGGCCACAATCCAGGACATGGAGGGGCTGGAGGTGTCCAGGGATGGAGCTGGGAAGGGCTGGAGGTGTCCAGGGATGGAGCTGGGAAGGGCTGGAGGTGTCCAGGGATGATGGGATGGAGCTGGGAAGGGCTGGAGGTGTCCAGGGATGGAGGGATGGAACTGGGAAGGGCTGGAGGTCTCCAGGGATGGCTCTGGAATGCTCTGGAGGTGTGCATGGACGGTGGGATGGCTCTGGAATGTTCTGGAGGTGTGCATGGACGGTGGGCTGGCTCTGGAATGTTGTGGAAGTGTCCATGGATGGTGGGATGGCTCTGGAATGTTGTGGAGATGTCCATGGACA